TTCTTGTAGATGCCGCTTTTTTTAAAAGTTAATTTGCTTTTCCTAGCATTCTTACTGTATCAATCCCTTTGGAGGAAAGTGTTCCATGCATTGTACAGCAGTTGTATACATTTTAGTGTTTATGTTTATTACAGCACATTTCTTAATCGTGTGGTTAGAATTGTAGTCTTTCGGCATATTTGTTGCAACGTTTAATAGTCATAATACTGTTTCTTGCCTTGCAAAATGACTAATGTAGCTATAGCTTTATTATACAAATCATATTCTCTAGTTTCCTGAAGGCCAATCTTGGATATGCTTTTTGCTGGTATTAGCAATTCACTATTCCAGTCCCTTCAAGGTAACCATTCTTTAGCATATTTTAAGTTAAATATAGCTTGTTATATGGGTTGAGTGTTCAAGGTACAACATAGATTTCAGGATTTTGTTTTGAATGAAACATCCTTGCCTGTGGTAGCAATCAATCTTCCAACTCTCCCAAGTACTGTAATTGGACTAATATTTGCAGTATTTGATTTATTTTTCATTCTTGTTTCTGCTTAGCCAGAGTACATGTGCACTTCACATCTCTTCTTGTAACATTGTTACTTATATAATCAAAAAGCAATACCAGTCCTTTTTTCTTTAACCCTGCCTTCAGCCACACCCTTAGGGCCAGGCTAAAGTATCGGGAAAGAACATCCTACAGAGATCCTACAGGGCTATTCAGAAAGCCAAGATTTATTTTTTTAAAAAATGAAACTTTATGAATTAAACAATTTAGATACTGCGTTAGATTATTGAACTGTTATCTATAATCTGGCTGACCAAGCTACATACTATATACTACAGGGGGACTTTTACTGTTTTAAAATTGTTTAAATTTTTTAAGTGTTTGGGCCTATTTTTGCAATTTGAGTTCTAGTAGTATACAAGATCAACTACCAGTATTACTGAAGCCCTGAAGAGAGAAACAAGGGACTGCAGCTGTTTCCAAATTCCTTGAAATGTTTAAAAGGTTTTTGTTCTTCAAATGGAAGGAATATTTCAACACAAAGCTTTAGGTAGCTTCAGCTTTATTCCAAACTCAAAACACAACACCTTTATTGTTTAAAAAATACCACCCTTTTCCTCTTTGTCAAACTTATTATGGCAATACATCCTGGTATATATTTGGTTACTTTATTTCAACATACTATAAGTGGACTAGGATAAAAATGATTTAAGAGATTAGTGTTTGATTTTTCATTGTGGAAAGTAAATTGATTATGCTCCAAAGAGCAAATGTCATGCAAAAATATGAAGCCCAAAGCAAGAAAAACATTTAAAATGATTGGATGAGCATTGAGCCCAAAATTATAATAGTAAGTCAGGTAGGATAACTTTAGTATCTCAGAGGAATGTTGATGGATTTATAGCAATAATTTTAATAAATCACAATCATTTGTTTACTTGCAAGTACAGTGAAACCTTAATTTGTCATAAATGGGCTCCAATTTAAACTCTAATACAAACTGTTTAATTTACGTAACATCCAAATGACTTATCCTTTGATTCAGAGGCTTTTGGCAACAGTGGATACCCTCAAATCTACTAAAATGGAGTTTCCTTATGAATTGTATTAAGTAGAATTTAATCCTTTGTAAAATGTTGACAATTACAGTGGGGGGAAAAGTATTTGATCCCCTGCTGATTTTGTATGTTTGCCCGCTGACAAAGAAATGATCAGTCTGTAATTTCAATGGTAGGTTTATTTTTACAGTGAGAGACATAACAACAAAAAATGCAGAAAACGCATTTCAAAAAAGTTATAAATTGATTTGCATTTTAATGAAATAAGTATTTGATCCCCTATCAATCAGAAAGATATTTGACTCCCAGGAATCTTTTATACAGGTAAAAAGGGAGCGCTCCTAATCTCATCATGTTACCTTTATAAAAGACACCTACCCATAGAAACAAGCAAGCAAGCAGATTCCAAACTCTGCACCATGGCTAAGACCAAAGAGCTGTCCAAGAATGTCAGGGACAAGATTTTGGACCTACACAAGGCTTTTATATAGGTAACAATGGAATGCGCTACAAGACTATAGCCAAGCAGCTTGGTGAGGTGACAACAGCTGGTGGTTATTCACAAATGGAAGAAACACAAAATAACTGTCAATCTCCCTCAGTCTGGGGCTCCATGCAAGATCTCGCCTTGTGGAGGTTCAATGATCATGAGAACAATGAGGAATCAGCCCAGAACTACACGGGAGGATTTTGTCAATGCTCTCAAGGCAGCTGAGACCACAAGTTACCAAGAAAACAATTGGTAATACACTATGCTGTGAAGGACTGAAACCCTGCAGCGCCCACAAGGTCCTCTTGCTCAAGAAAGCACATGTACAGGCCGGTCTGAAGTTTGCCAATGAACATCTGAATGATTCAGAGAACTGGGTGAAAGTCCTGTAGTCAGATGTGACCAAAATTGAGCTCTTTGGCATCAACTCAACTTGCTGTGTTTGGAAAGCTGCCTATGACCCCAAGAACACCATCCCCACAGTCAAGCATGGAGGTGGAAACATTATGCTTTGCAGGTGTTTTTCTGCTAAGAGGATAACACAACTTCACTGCATCAAAGGGACAATGGATGGGGCCATGTACTATCATATCTCGGGCGAGACCTCCTTCTCTCAGCCAGGCCATTGAAAATGGGTCATGGATGCGTATTCCAGCATGACAATGACCCACAACACATGGCCAAGGAAACAAAGGCCTGGCTCAAGAAGAAGCACATTAAGGTTCTGGAGTGGCCTGGCCAGTCTCCAGACCTTAATCCCATAGAAAATCTGAGGAAGGAGCTGCAGGTTCGAGCTCTCAAACGTCAGCCATGAAATCTTAATGACTTGGAGAGGATCTGCAAAGAGTGAGGGACAAAATCCCTCGTGAGATGTGTGCAAACCTGGTGGCCAATTATAAGGAATGTCTGACCTTTGTGATTGCCAACAAGGGTTTTGCTACCAAGTACTAAGTCATGTTTTGCGAAGGCGTCAAATACTTATTTCACTCATTAAAATGCAAATCAATTTATAATTTTGCTGAAATGCATTTTTCTGGAATATTTTCTTGTTATTCTGTCTCTCTTGTTAAAATAAACCTACTATTAAAATTGCAGACTGATTCACAGATGAGAAGGTAATTTAAAAAATATTAGATAATGTGCCAAATTGGACAGGCTAACAATGGAACTTAAAGAGGAAACAGGCTGCTACTTAACATGGGATATATTATATAAATGGCTAAATAACAGGTGCAGAGTTTAGCATTCAATAATGAAAAAAGATTAACCAGATATACTAACCAGATACGAATAGATATACATAGAAATATGTAAGAATACACAATGTAAGCAATACCACTAATGAACTGTATGTGAATATACAGTAGTTCAAAATGTATTGATTGATAAATGTAATAGTGTAATGCAGTACAAATATGAAAACAACAATTTTAATTATGACATACAGCAGTATGTAGTTAAAAGAGATTATATTGTATGAGCATGAGAATAGTTATAACCAGGATGTATACTATGTATGATGCATTTTTATATCAAAACGTGATATAGCCAGTACATTGTAAAATTGGAAATGTGATGAACAATAATGGAAAAAACATTAAAAAAATTACAGACTGATCATTTCTTTGTCAGTGGGTAAACGTACAAAATCAGCAGGGGATCAAATGCTTCCTTAGCCCACTGTATATTATTGTATGCATGCATGTATGCATGTAATTGATGAGTTATGAAAACTAACTCTTAAAAGGTTTTAGCATTAACAATAGGAGTTAGATTTATATACTGCCCCACAGGGCTCTACAGTTCTTTCTGGACAGTTTACAATGTCAGCATATTGCCCCCAATATGGGTCCTCATTTTACCAACTTTGGAAGGATGGAAGCCTGAATCCACCTTGAGCTCTCCATCAGGATTGAACTCCAGGCTGTGGGCAATGTTTGCCTGAAATATTGCATTCTCATCACTGTGCCACTAGGGCTCTTGAAAAATAAATTATCACATTTAACCAAACCAAAAATTGTTTGAATATCAGTAAAGTAAATACAAAAGAACACAGAACTAATTCCAATATATTAAGTATCATGAACATGGCTGAAACCACTAACATTTCAAATAGAAGCATATTTTGACTTGGCAAGCTCTATGAAGACATGCCAATTTTCTGAATGGTAAAATAGCCACAATTTTTATAACTGTCCTGCATTTTTAAAACCACTTCTTCAGATTATTACATATTGCACCTATACTGGTTACTTTTAAAGCTGAAGCACCTGAATGGTTCTCTGAGGGGACATAATTAATCTCCCAGTATCAAGGCTAGGAAGAGAATGGCCTCATTTCCATTAATACCAACAGGTAGAAGGACCTAGAATTTAATCTCTGGAGAAAATAGATGCTATAATTATGGTCGTTTTTTGTGTTCTGCAATGGACTCATCTTGACTATATGGCTTCAATTGTACTTACAATAAAGCAACTTTCTGTTATAATTGAAAGCTTCTACAGTAAGAATCAGTATGAGTGAAAGGTTATGATTTATTGCTGTGTCTTGAGTAAAATATTTAGCTACTAAAATTATTTCTTACTGTCATTTGTTTTATAATTATATTATAGATGGAAGGCACTGAACATATAAACTGGACATTTGGCTCCAGACCTGCAAAGACCCTGTATGTTTTCTTTCTAAATTGTCTTTTTTATTTCAAAATATTTATTCTATTCTATCTTAAATAGCCTTTCTTCAAAATTCCTGCACTTGAGCCTGACAGTGTGTATACTATTATTATTGACAAAAATAACATTTTAGATACTCCATTATTTCAAAGCCTATTAAATAAAGTTTATTGCATCTTCTATTCAGTGAAAGATATCATGCCTGAATTGTGAATGAGCAACTAAATTCAAACATCAAAGGCACCATACTTCAGCATTTCACTGATCACAAAAAAACACATATTGAATTCTTCCAATATAGCATTTGGAGCATTTTGGCTAGATTTAGAATATAAAATACAAAAGTATTTATTAAAGCTAGTGCTCAAAAATATCTAGTTAATCATGTTCCTCATTAAACTTACATGAAACACATTACATAGAGATATAATATAGAAGTTCTATGTACAAAATTGAACAAACAGAATTCGTTTTTACAATTTCTTTCAGTTTCCCCTTACTTTATATTTGTACCTACCTAAACTATATTGAGATTGTATGAAAGAACATCTCTTTAACATAATATATGCCTTTGGTATTACACAAATAATAGCAACATTTAAGTATAATATATATAATATAAATAAAGACAAATTCCTTGTGCGTCCAATCACACTTGGCCGATAAAGAATTCTATGTAGCAAAAATATTTTTAGACACAGACCAGTACAAATTTAGGTGCATTTACCACTTTTATTTTACTATGCAGAAACATACATTCGCATGTATTGTGATGAAACTGACAGCATAAAGAATATAGGATTCCTTTAAACTGATGTGATAATAAAAATGAAACAATGTGTTCTGTACGGTTTAAGGCTTAACTCTGATCTAAGTAAGGAACACTGACTAGACTTGCAAAAGAAACATCTTTCTCTGAGAGTGGACATGACTTGGTTTTGAAAAATCACATTTTCAGATGAACACATCTGAGATGCTAAGGAAAATATACATTTTCTTCAAAATAATCACAATGCAAATTTATAGATTGAGACTTTAGAAAAGTAATGGCAGGATTTCTAACTTTAACAATTCTAAAAATCATTAGCTATTAAGGGTTCCAAATCAGATAAACAAAGCATATTTTATAAGCATTTAAATAAGATTAGAGATTCACCATTGTTTATATAACAAGAATAGTAAAACCAAATTATAACAAGTATATGATTCAAGTTATTTGTTGAATAAAGTATGTTATTGGCACATCTAATGTAATAAAACATATATATAGTATCTGTACAGCTTCTACTATTGTAGTGTGATCTTGATTTCCCATAAACAAAACTTTGCGCATCCCAACCAAGAAACTGTGTTTAGACTTTCAATAATAGTAAAGGCATGAGCTGTTTTATGTGTAGCATAATACAATTGTTTTAACTGTTGATGAACGTGCCATTTAGATGTAAAGTTGATTTAGGAAAATAAAAATGCTGCATTTTTGTAATTTGTTGTTTCATGCAATTATTAGAGTATTAAAGCTGATTCAAATTGCTGTAACTGGGGAATTTCTGCCAGTGTCCTTAATTAGCAATTAAAATCAAAATCTTCCACATTGAAAATTTCTCTGGAGAGATGCAAGTCAGCTGGGTTAGAACCAAGACTCCACATAGGCTCTGATATTCCCACTGATGAAATTCATAAGAAAGCTATTCTAATCCTGCAGTGGAAAGAATATAGTTAAATTCCATCAATAAAAAAACCTAAAATAATAAAAATAAAGTCACAAAAAGAATTGCAAATATTTACACAAAAGAACTCTAGACTTATGCAATGAGTCATAAAAATGGTAAGTTGAATTCAGATCTCTATTTTCTGAAAATCTATACAATTATATTGATAGTCTTTTTAATGAGACCTTTTGATGACAAATCTATATAAACAATGTTCCAAATTCAACTATTGGCATTGAATTTGGAACATTGGTAAGAAAGGACCAACTATATGCATTAGAAAGATTTGATATTTGGGATAACTAACAGAGTAGTTATTAGTGGCCATGTAGAAAATGCCTTGATTCAATGTAATAACATAGGTAACACTCCATATAAAAATAACTGCTATATGTACGCTATATAAATACAGTATTTGTAATTTCCAAATGTTGTTCTATAAATAATTCCATAATTCAGTTGTTGTTCAGGCTCTACTAATACTCCAAGGCTCATCTTTGTTCCTTCTCTTATTTTCAGCTTCCTCACTTATTGCTAAAGCTACAGCAACTGATTTTTGAAGTCTAATCTTTCATGCAGATTTATAATCTATAATTTATAAGGACGTAAGGAAAACTAGTTTGAAATGATTATATTAGTCGTTCAAACAAAATAAAAGCAAATTCTTTTTTTACACACAATATTCAGCTTTTTAAGAGCATACAAGTATCACTAAATCTTGCAATAGCAGGTTAGTATGCCAAACATATTCTAGCACATGCATATAGTAATTGCATTAAACACTCCATTGCTAATTTAGAATTTGTCACCATGCCTTTATTCAATGATAGCAGCAAAAAAATTGCATGTTATTGTCTCCTTTTAAGAAACAATCATAAAAATTGCCAGAACTTATATTAGTAAACTTAGAAAAATGAACAGTTTGAAAAAGGCTATTCGCAAACAACTTTGCAGACAAAACTTAAATACTGGTATTTCAGTTCAATACGCTTGCAAGCTTTCTCAGGCAGAAGAGTATTTTATGATTAGAAAATGCTTTCTTTGCCCACAATTGTGCATAAGCAATCTTCAGGACAGTCAACTTACAGAGCTACTTGATGGAAAATGCACAGCAACTAGCAAGCAGACACAAGCAAATGGGTTTCTCCTATTTGTCTAACTGGCATTAACATAAAGAAAAAAATGTTCTACTCCATAAAGTTAATCTAATCAGCCAAATCATTCATTTTGTCTGTGTGTACAAAGCATAGTACAAATGCCAGAAAGAATAAATAGAAAGGATTAATGATGGGTTCTGGGAGAAGGAATGATCTTTGTCACATGCTAGTCTGTGAGTGCCTGGAAAAAATCTAGTCCTCTTACCTGTAGTCAATCCTCCCCATCTTCTGGTGTGATTTCTGTCTCTTTATGTACCACTACTTTGGTCACTGACATGTCAGGGTGCTGCTCTTTGGCCTCTTTAATTGCCTGAGCCAGCGCCTAGCGTAAGGAAACCACAGAAGGGCAGAAAGGAGAAGGAGGTGGAACATGCATGATCAGTAGCAAGGTGCAGAGAGATTCATGATTAAATTTACAATTTCCAAATGAGGAAATGTGACTCAAAATAGACATTTTACATTTGAACGGAACTGTAATATATTTTAAAGGCCCACTGACACTAAAACAGACTTTTAAGTTTACAGAAAATAGACTAATTTGGAGCTAATTTTAGAAGCTTACATGTCATACCTGATCATGGTCAATGTCTGCATCACCCGTTATCACAATTCGCTTTTCAATTCTTGTCTCTGAAATGCCTCCTTTCACTGTCTTAAAGGGGGATAAAAAAAGCAACTAAGGCCTAAAGATATTGTCAAAGGAAGTTTACTGCTTTTTTTCTCTGAGAAATTAGAACGTTTTTGCCTCTATGGTTCAAGCTTTTCTTTTTAAAAGCAGGTTGCTAATTGCAAAATGGTATTCAACACTTAAATAATACATATGATCGATATGCTGTTTAATGTTCAAAATACCAAATTCAAAAGTGTGCAATGTGCATGTGCGATAGGAACAAACTTCTGATCTCAAAGTTTTCTCTCATAATGTTAAATAGAAACTACATTATAAACACTTTTTGGAATTTATTAGACAGGTAGATAGTGATAGTTTTTTTTATGCTCAAGAGGCAATACACCAAAAAGTGCATTAATCTATATGATTTGGATATGTGCCCCAGGAAATTCTACAATGATCCAATGTTCTTAACATTGTTAAGGCAGTTAAAACTTAAAAGATGTCAGTGTGTTGTTGAATTTTATTCCTAAAATTTAGAGTTAGTTTATAAAGAACTCTGGGTCAGTTTTTAATTTATTAATTTATATTGAATTTATATTTTTGCCTATTTGCACATGGCGACTCGAGGCGTCTTACAGAATGTAAAATAATATTTAAAATAAAAAATAAAAACTAACAAAAAGAATCAATCAAATAAATTAATAAAGTACAATAGAACAAAATCTGGAAAAAAAATAACCCCCCAACTCCCACTCCTCACCCCCATAACAACAGATCACACGAGCCATTTTATGGGGTCTGGGTTCTCCAGGCCTACTGGCAGAACCAGGTCTTCAGTGCCTTCCGGAAGAGTAGGGGCCAGTCTAATCCCTGAGGGAATGATGTTCCAGAGAGAGGGAGCCACCATGGAGAAGGCCCTTCTTCTGGGTCCCATCAGGTGTATCTCCCTCAGGGATGGGATCCGCAACATTCCCTGCCTCCCCACTCTGATGGGTCGGCTAGATGTGATCGGCAAAAGACGATCCTTCAGATAACCTGGTCCCAAGCCATGAAAGGTAACAACTTTAAAGGTGACAACCAGCACCTTGAATTGCACCCAGAAACAAATCAGCAACCAATGCAGTTCCCCGCAGGAGGTGAAATGTACACACCGGGTCTGCACAAAACTATGTAGGCCACTGCATTTTGCACTAACTGAAGTTTCCAAATGCTCTTCAAGAGCATCTCCATGTAGAGGGCATTGCAGTAATCAAGATGGAAAGTAGCTAGGGCATGAGTGACTGTGAGTAGGGACTGTTGGTCCAGAAAAGGGCATAGCTGATGTCCAACCTGCAGTTGCGTAAAGGCCCTCCTGGCCACAACTGTCACTTGCTCTTTGTTCAGGAGTCATGAGTCTAGGAAAACTCCTAGATTACGCACAGGGTCTGTTTGGAGTAGTGTCACCCCATCCAAGACCAAAGATGGCAATTCTCTCTGAGCCAATGAACCCCAAGCCCAGAGCCACATAATTTATTCTTAATGTGTTGCATTTTAATACATTTTAAAAAAGAGACTAAGCCATAAAAAAGCATATGTAACTATGGCTTCTATCATTCAACAAATGATTACTTCAGTTGTTTCACTCAGATATTTATATATTTAACAATAAACCTATGCCTTTATTGGATAAAAAATTGTGGTACACTTACTTTGGTGATATGTGTAGTAGTTGTAGTACTAGTAGTTTCAGAAGTAATGGTCTGTGCACTCATCAGAACTCCTGGTTCAGAATCAGCACCAGAATCCACCTAAGAAAAAAAAATCATATGAAATGATAAATGCATTCAAGATTGCAGTTATTTGTATAAAGTTGACAAACATTCACTTCTTTCAGTTTTCCACTTGTTTAGGACTGAAAACCAGACAAGAATGACTATTAGCAATATTGTATCCATCTTTTCTTCTTAAAATCCATGTGTTTATTCATTTCGAAGGCACCTTTCATGTATTCAATATTTTAATGTTATTATACCAACAACTTTTTCAATAAGTGTTTAAAAATATTTACATCATGAGAACAAAAAATTTTTCCTCCAACATAATGGTTTTTTTAAAAAATTGGTCTTAAATCATTATCAGAGTATTTTTAGTCCAAATAAAGTTTAATTTTTATGTATGTTGCTGTTGTCACCAATCTGTCAGGTTCAGTGCAAATTTTATTGTTTGTAGAATCTCCTTATGTTTTTCCAATCTTTTTATTTTAGTATCTTACCTCAGATGATTCATATGTAATAGTTTTTGTTTCAGTATGGACAACTGGTACTTCTTTCATAGAAATTTCCAATTTCTCTCCACCTGGAGAAGCACTGCCCAAACTGTCTGTCTCAGTCTTCGCAATGGATGACTGTTCCAATGAAATGTAAATGCAGGACACATTAAAATGGATGATTTTCTAGTACTCCAGAATAAAATGTAAATGAATTTTCTTGCATAATAAGAAATATTTTTAAAGTACGTAAACTTACACTTAAGCAGCATTTTTACCATTATTTATATCTAAATTGAGAACATATTTTTAACTAGCATATATCATTTTTCATTTAAAGCTTATTTTGTTGTAGCCCAAAGTTACATGAGCTTATTTTCCTTTAAATATTTAAAACACAGTTGAAATCATGAAAAGGTTGCATAATACGGCAGTTTACAATTAGAACATTCTAATAAATTATTTGGGAAGTGCTTTCAGATTTGAAATTAGATAAGATAAAGAAACAGGTAGTGATTTTTCCATGAAAGGTTATACTTCACTCTTTGCTCTAATAAAATATATTCTAGTATCAGCATTTAGCTGTATTACTTAGCCCAAAATGCTTCTTAAAGAGTACTTATGCTAAAAAGTAAATAAAAAGAAAAAAATAAATCTAAAAATGAACGTTGCAGCAAGCATCAAAATGCCATGCATGTAAAGAAGCATTGAGTTGCTTCCTGGTTAATTTTTAAAATGTTCAATGTGATTTGCAAAGAGTCCCAGGAGTTAAGGGAGAAGGCAAAGTTTGTTTTTAACATCTGCATGTATACCAGTTGGGAGACACGGAAGAAAATTAAATAGCAGAAATCACTAGGAAAGAGAATTTCTGCATCCTTCCTTGGATGCTCATGCCTTCCATATGGACTATGTGCTATTTTACATTAACTTGGACATTAGTATTCACACATCAAGGGACGCCGTGGCTGTACCTGCGACTAGAGTTATTCAGGCAGCTAGGCTTAACCATGTAATAGCTATGTCACCACATTTAAATATCATATTAAATCAAACAGTGACAATTAATGAAAAGGACAAACCGAGCTTGCAAGCCATACAAGTGAAGAACAAATGCATGTGAAGCTGCCTTAAGAAACAAACTGCTCACAATAACTATGTTAGATGCATTGCGTAACTTCCTTAAAGAAGTTTACAGTAGTTTATCTTTTTGTTCAGAATCAGCAAATTAGACATGTTTAATTACCTCAAAAAGAGGTTTGCTTTCTTCCATATTCAAAATATGGGCTGATTTACTCTGCTCCTCTTGTAGATTATGAGAAATGGTAGCAGTTTCTTCCTGTTGGGCTGCAGCTTTTTCCTCTTTAGCCCCCTCAGTGACAGCAGACCCCTCTTTCCCTTTGATGCTAGAAGTCACATGAGATATTGTCTGTGCTGTAGCATCCAGCTGAAGGCCAGCCAACTTAGTAGCATCCTCACTTGCATGCAAACTCATCACATGTTTCTCCTTGACTATTAAAGTTTCCTGCACAACCTTCTTGATGGCCTCCTGCTGTTGCTCCTCTGCTTCCTTTTCCTCATCAGTTTTTGTTTCTGTTCGCTGTAGGAAAGGCAAGTTAGTATTAAAAGCTAATGTGTAAAATCTATAATTAAAGACCATCAAACTTGACAAAGGGTTTGTTTGCATGCTTTTCCTTTACGTACAGGTGATCCGAGTGCTCAGAAATTCCATGTGGTTTCTCTTATAAGCACTAGCGTTCTGAAGAGACCTCAGTTTGAAGGGCAGAAAGTGATTTGGATTTACATGTGGCATGCTTGGACTACCTTTAAAATAAAAAATGCTTCAGAAATACCTTAAACCAAATTAGATCATGCTGTAGCATGATCATGTGATTAGGAAAAAGATGCAACTGCCTTAAGATGTACCTGACATGTACATTCATATCCTTGCATGTTCCAAATTATATTCTGCCCTTTCAATCTGGATATCTGCATATCGCTAATAATTATGAAGTCCAATTTTAACTTTCATACACTTAAATTCTATCTCAAGAATAACAAATTTACTTCTACCTCCCATTTCTGAATGTCAAGTTTAAATGTACTGCTTTAGGAAGGAAAAGTACCCAGCATGTGCATTAATGTTTTCCATGAAGATCCTAAATATACTTATGTGCAAAATAACAAAGGAAAACTCAGTGTTACTCTAAAATAATACTATGAACCATCAAGGGATAATCATTAAAATCTAAAGATGAATCAGATGGCCACCTGTGCCCAGCTATGTGAAGTAGCTGTAACCCCTCCTATGAGCTCAGTTGGTTTTCTTGCAGATTCTATTAATGTGAAGATACCAGAACCATCCAAAGTTTTTTCATCGGAGAGTTGTTTTCTCTAAACAGACAGAGAAATATATAGTCATAGGCATATGGACACAGAAAGAGAAACACACACACACACACACACCAAGTTTATGTTAATTGACACAAATAAAGATAAAGGAGAGGAGGAAATGTGGCAGGGTTACAAAGAGAAAATAATGGAAAATAAATTAGCACAAGTCTGTACTGAATATAAGCAGTAATACAAACAAGCAAGTGATTAGCACTAGGATTCTGCTGGTCTCGTAAAAGCATTATTTTCTCTTCAAAATAAGCAATAGCAGCATACTATATTTCAGTAAGACTGATCTTTAGTTTAAATACCTAATGTCAGCTTTGTACAGTGTTAATTGACTTAAATCATGAAGAAATAATAAAAAGCTGGGTTGGCTGTTATCAAAATAAGGCCAAGCAGAAAAAGGACTAGGAGGCAGGGTAGTGCAGATATTGTCTAAAAAAAGTCATGCTTTGTTAAACTGGATCAAAGTTGTATGTTACCACTACTCTTGATGCTGACGACTCAGTGACATAGTGAGCAGTAGCAATGGTAAAAGATGGCTCTCTGCCATGTTTCCTCACAGGTTTAATTTTCCAACCAAAAGTCTCTCCTTTCAGTTGTTCACTCTCCAGTGATTTCTCAGCTTTGGCTGTCTGTACACTTCCCAGTGTATCGGGCAACTGCAAGTCTTGGTCTGCCTTCAGTGTTTTCTTCAAGCTTTCTTCATCTGGGCTTTGGAGTCGGGAGTCTGCTTCTTTAATTGGTGTCAATGACTCAGAGACCCTCCTTTTGGCATCAGATAATCTTCTGGCCTTCTCATCAGTTACTGGTTCTAGAATTTCATATTCTGCTACTACAGGAATGATTTTCACAGATTCTGGCAATGCTATCTCTGTGTTTTGAAATGATGGCAGAACCATTTTTTCTCCCTCTTTTACTTTAGTGGTCATGGTTACAGTTTTCCCAGAAACAGTATCATAGGATTTTCCTAAGGTATACATTTTCTGCTTAGTGTCATCTTTTGAAAGCAATTCACCTTCCAAGTCCTCAAAGCTCTGTATGTCAGTGATACTATGTTTTAAAAGCTCAGGTGGGATGTCACCAGTTTTACTGCTCACAGTCATTAATTTGTATGTCACAATGGTTTTCGATTCACCATCAACTACCTCAATGGGTACTTTGTCTACAATAACCCAATCCTCAGTGCCCTATATTTGAAATATAAAAGCTCAATTAGAACAACTAAGAGGTTACTTCTATGTTAGGAAGCTAAAATATTACACCTTTAGGAAATTACAATAGCTACTTTATTAACATCCACATTTTTAAAGTATTTCATAAGCCAGAAGGCAATATGAATATTTCAAATTGTGACTAAGTTTAATACATAATACAGCAAGAGGCACCATACTATCTTAATATTTTACACATTTTTAAAAGTGCTTGCTAGGGGGTGAAAATCATTTAGTTTTTAATTTTCTTCAACACAAAACACTGTTATTTTAAGTGTAAAGTACAGCTGTTTGGAGAAATAAACACTCCCCAAATATCTGAAAATATAGCTTAATACTCCAATCCCAGTTCTGTGAAGTTATGTGCTTGAAATGCTTTCAAATAGTTTACAAATGGAGGTGAATCATTCTGCTTATTAAAATATTTTGTACTCAAAAATACTGCAAATGTTACAGAACAGTCTTTAATTGTTCGCTAATGCTTTTATATCTTTATATAATTAATACATTATAGTCTGAATACTCAATTGCAAGTATATCCTGTACCATCAATTTCATATACTTTCATATATTTAATAGTGCTCCTGAATGACAGTCCATAATGTTACTAATCAAAATGCACGGTGTAATTTGTTGCTTTCCTTAATATTTAGTTAAGAAAAAGAGATGAAAAGCAGATGATTAGAGAAACAGAAGTGAAAGACAGTAACACAGGGATCCCCTCTAATATTCCAGATTTGTGATAGAATAATTGAAAATACAGCTTTTCTAAAAGCACCTCAAGATTCTGCTGTTTGTACAATCATATACCTTGTGGAGGTAATGGTTAATTCTTTTTCTAGTTCATTTTAGTTCAGTACCTCCTCGTTTTAAAAATGATTTATAAAAGTTTATAGGGTAGGATCACCTTACAATTGTTATTCCCCTTCTTTCCTGAATGCATATATGGAAACACACTAGATAAACTTGGAAATGTTTGTGAGCATTTCCAATCAGCATAGTATTTCCATTCAGGCCTGAAATGCATCTTCTGAATTCTATCAAACTAAACAGGAGTAGGTGAAGTACATTCATCTGCAGTATCCTACCCTACTTCTATATAAACATACAGACTTGATTATGTACAGACTTGATTCTTGCTGCTATTTCTGAAGATTCTACCTGAACAATGAAAATTGCACACATAAGAATGAAGAAGTTCAAGCAATATTTTGATAAGCACGCTTCTTTACCGTAAACACATCTGGAAAACATATTTGCTGTAACAGTTAGAAGCAAATCTGATTTTTAAAAAAATGCTACAATGAAATGGATTCTAAAGGCAGTTGATATTGCTTATTATTTTTACCAAGATGTTTAAACATGTATATATGCAGATGTCCAGGGAAGAAATGAGACTCTAAGCTCTGAGAACTGTGAAGAAATCTGAAAACAAATCTAAATCAGAAATCTTTGTGAAATATTAACCAAACCTTTAAAAAGGAACTGCCAAAAGAAATATGATGTATTTATCAAATTAGCACTTTAAGATGCAGCATCTTTCAGTAATAAAAATACACCTTTTTACCTGAGAATCAAGAAAGGCCGTGCTTTCCTTCTGTAAAAATATGCGTTTTTCAAATTTTTCTTTATCTTCTTTGGTCTAGAGGACAACATATCTATCATTAAAATCCATGAGAAGGTTGGAGTATAGATTCTTGAAAAATCGGCAGATATGCACTCACCTCGTCAGGCATAAGTGGTTCAATCATAGGAGCTTCTTCATGTCTTGCAGCAAGCCGGACTGGTGACGTTGAAAGTCTCTTCTCCCATTCATTGGTCCCTGAGGCATCTGTGGTGGTTTCTAAGAATGTCCGTTTCAGCTCACTTATATTGGTCTGGTGTTTTATCAGATCTTCCTGTGTTTTATCTAGTTCCTGGTTTCGGAAAGGGGAGTGCAGCATTTTTTTAAAATTTGAATTGGCATGACAGAAAAACAAATATATTTTCGTAGTTAATCACCAAAAAATCTTGATGAGATTAGCTCTCACGGCACTAACACAACACTCTTGGCAAACTGGTGTTTTAAAGGAAAAATGTACAGAAATTCTTAGGACACTTCACACATAACAGTGTGGCAAGAACATTTGCCACTAGGTAGGATTCCTGTCAGAGGTTGCCAGCCAATCCAAGCTCCCTGCCAACTGAGCCTATGTTAATATGCATTCACTAGCACCTGTGTACATTGCTCTGTAGGTGGAAAACATTTCCTGGGCACACTTCAATATGCAATGTGTAAAGTAGTCCTCATTCATGTGAGCATCAAATACTTTTAGGGGAGTCATAGTTTGCACACATTCTAGAAATTTTTTTAAAAATCTATATACATATGCAACAGAGTTGTAAAAATGAGTATAACAGAAAATCCTCATCTTAACATTTGATTTATTAGCAAGTAAAAATGCACATATCATGCATCATATACAAATTCACACCTTAACTACTATATTTAAAACACACATAGAATACATGCACTAATATATACCCATACCAACCTCTAACATAAGATTACTATGTTTGATATACACATTTTCACCCTGTATGCGCTTAATCAGACTATTCTGAAAAAACTGAAAAAGAAAGGAAAATGTGAGGACCACAATATTCAAAGAATGTAAAAATGCTGTTCTAAGCAATGTTTGTAAATATTGTGGGGATATGAATAAACACAAGCAGTTTAGCCATGGAGGATAACAAACACACAAAAAAGCAAGGCATTCTTTCACTTGCCTGTGCTTTGAGATCAACATCTTCCTCCTGATCTGACTGTTTAGGTAGAGAAAAAAACCAGAAAATATTATTTTACTAATAAAAATCATTTAATGACTATAATTATCATCATCATGATATTTTTAAATGGTTCATACTCATCAAATGAACAACATATGTAATAGGTATTGAAACCTCTCCTGGCATAAACCTCCACCCAGATGCATCTGTTTTAAAAGCTATCACAAAATGTTCTGGGAGTCACCAGAATGTATATATAAACAGAGATAACTGAAATTAGTGGAAAACTTTTTCATATAGAAAACTATTTATGTACTGTCATAGGATATATCTCTACATGGCATAGTTACTTGAAGGAGGCCTGGTTACTTGAAGGAGGGGTGTCTTGCATAGCATCTGCCTGGCCAATTCAATACTACAGTGCTTTCATTACTAAGGGGTATCAACTATGCTGAAATTCAGAATATCTAAGGAACATGATACATTCTTTGACAATAAATTCAGAGCAAGAGTACACACCTCTGTGGCAGTGGTTTCACCATCTGCTGCAGTATCAGTCCTTTCACTATCAGTCTGTGTTATATAACCAGATTCCAAGAAGAAAGCAAGAATAAGAAATAAATCCAATTTGTAATTAAACAAAATCATAGGTTGAATTGTCAAATCTACATTCTTGTGAGCTGCATTTTAAACATTTTTCAAACAAATGACAATTTAAAAGAAGCATAATCCAAAACAACAAATCAGACAGCATTAAGATCAAGGCATACTATACAAAGTAGTGGTTTTTGTGTTAAACAGAATCATTAAATTGTGGAGTTTGAAGGAGCAAAAGGATCACCTAGTACAATACTCTGCAATGTGCAGGAACACCATTTAAGCCATCTTTGAGATTGGTTAGCCAAACAAAACCAAATCAGAAAAAGAAGATACTTTTCTTTATTTTTTTCTAAAGATAGCCACTGATTTTAATAAGCAATAAAATGTGAAAATTGCACTTCTCTAACTATAATTTCGGGGATGGGGGAAGCTCTGTACAGTACTTTTAATGAGACATTATAAAAATATTGTTCTATTATTTGTTCATTTAGAGAAGGAAAATCTATTAGCGCGTCTATTATAACAGTCCCTTGATTTTAGCCCCTTATTTGCACAAATGTTTTTTCTCACATGGTTTTAAGGCTGTCTGCATTAGCAAAGTTTTAACAAACACATAAACAGAACAAATTTAGCTATATCTTGAACAGAATTAACATTTGTCAACAATGAAATATGATGTAGCTGCAAGAAAATCCTTTGTTATGTAAAGCTATATTTTCTATCAGTGCTTATAAAACATAGCAATGTATTTTAAGTAACATTTAGAAAGTACAAATGATCAAAGTAAACAAAGCACAGCATTATCCATCCAGCATTGATACATCCTAATATGTACCATGAACACTTTAATTTTATTAATACTGTCTCAAAATGAATAATGATTTCAAAAAATACTTTAAAATAAATGTATAAAACACTGAATGGGGTTGTTATGAAAAAAATCAAGCTATACAATGATCCAAAGGCCTGAATATGTTTTAAAATATTCATTTAAGACAGAGTGGTTATTCTATATAGGTAGGTAGATATATAACATGCAGCCCAAACGTTTTGGACTACAACTAGATAATCCCTTGCCATGCTGTTAGGGACACATAGGAATTGAAAACCTACACAACTGGACAATGTCAGGCCGCCTACCTCTACAGTTCTTCAAAACCTCTTCATGGGCAAACAATGTAATATATTAAGCATGCAACTGGATTAATTCATCCTTTGGGATTGCAATAACAATCACTAAGTTGACGGAACAGTTTACCTACAGGTAATCTTCGCTTAATGACTATTCATTCAGTGGTAGTTTAGAGTTAAAATGTCACTGAACAAATGGTAGTTATGACTGGTCCTCAAAGTTACAGCTGTTGCAGCAGCCCCACAGTCATGTGTTGAAAAGTTGGGTATTTGCCAGCCTGCCCACATTTACGACTACTATGTGAGCTTCAACCAACCCACCCACCCACCTCTGACAGTTGGTAGCCCTGTATTCTGCCATCCTTCACCATCTTCTTCCTCCGACTGCTGATAAGACACCTCTGGCCAAGGTAGCTGCTGACCCTTCATGCTTCTGTGAGGCCTCCATGAACATCAGCTTTCTTAGGTTAATTCTCTTGTTATTTCAATGCAGGAAAAAGATTTCACATTCATTATGTTTACATGAAGTCCTAGCTTAATGACCAGTTGCTTAAAGATCATTCGGTTATGACTCCCTATCCTCAAGGTTATGACTGCTTGTCTTTGGCACCATAGGTTCTTATTACAACATTTGTCATTTAGGTATTCGCATTGTTTCTTTCTTTCTTTTTTTTGCAACACCAGTTCTTCTTCCACATTTCTGCCACTACTCTGAGTTTCTGCCCATTCAGATAAATATTTTCTTTACTTTTCCAATGAAATGTATTAACTGGAATCCATTCAGCCTTTGTCTAGAAGATGAGATGCACTGAATCATCTTTTTGTAATATATAAGCTAACAATGATGCCAGTGTATTCTAGCCACATTTAGCAAGAAGGGTGATCTGGCTGTATCAATCCTGCTCATAAGACCGCACATGAAGATTTCCCATGTATATTCCAACTACCTATATCTGTTCCTCTTGTCACTCCTCTGCCAACGCTATGATGGTGGTTTCTTCTTTATCTTTTTAGTATCTCCTGTTTCAGCAACATTCTTATCTGGTGTTAAATCCTTCCAAGTTCGAAAACAGAATCTAGTCTATCAAGAGCAATTAATCCCCAAAGGATCACTGCTTCCTTACCAATTTCTTCAGACGTTTTATCATTTCCAAAGTTGTCCATACATTAAGGTGCTTTTAAATCTTCATACAGTTCAAATGGCAACCATCGGTATACCAGATGTCTGTTATATGAAAGAAGATGGATGGAATCTACATTTTTTGTTGCTTTGCTGCTGTAGTTTTAACATTAGCCTGTCTTCATTGCAATTCACTTTGTTCATTCCAGAAATTGATTATTTGATTTGTACAAGCAAGTAGATTGCATTTGGTTGGATTACTACATCTGTTTAGTGATGTGCTCAACCAGATGTTTTTGTGTCACCCTAAAATTCTCACTAGAGCTGTGTAACAGTAGTCTGCCCAAAAACATCTCTGGATGGCTGAAATGCCTTCTTTCAGCCATGGAAGGAATCATTTCTCTACAGTAACACAGTTTCTTCTTACTACATTGCTTTATATCATTCCTCATCTTTCGTCAAGATTCCCTTTGTAGTATGAATATTACCCAGAAAATTATGTTTTCGAATCTTGTTTTCTTATGTTGTTGAAGATATCTTACAACTCGTAGCACAGTATTCCATTTTACAGGAAATCTCAGGATTTCCATCCAGGCATTACACCATTGAACTGACATTGTAATTTCTACTAGCCTATCATTCTTACTAAAAGGCTTGCTGTACTACAAGCTGCATAGAAACTCTGTCTTAGGTTTTTATAGTTTTTCTATGTTTACTTCAATGAAAGCCATTCACACTTTATAAAATTAAGTGAGCTCTGGCTTTTTATGCAGATATTTGCTCTTCCCTTCTCTTGTACTCACCACTGAAAAAGTAACGTTCTAATATCTTTTTAACCATTGTGTTCAAGATACCAATTTAACACTATCCAGGCTATTGGTTCTATTGCCAAAATACATTCCACAACAACATCAGACGTATAAGAATACATTTTGGGGGAATACCTGCAAACATTCCAATTTTTTCTTAGTAGAAGTATGAGCCTCAGATCAAAGTAAGTCTGCTAGGTTACCCATACATAGTGAATACACAAAGGAACAGGTTGCTTACCCATAACTATGGACTTTCAATATTCATCAGTGCACTTCTATGAACCTCTTCCATTCCTCTAGCAAAAGTTTGCCCTGACACAGTACGTTAAGTACCATGCTGTTCCTTATGGAACTGAGAAGAGACTGGAAGTTGTATCCAGAAGTTTGACAACATGGGGCTCACCTCTATCAAACATACTCCTTGACTACAGAGTTCCTAGTAGTGTCTTTGTGCTGGCAAATCATTCGTATGTATAAATATAGAAATGACTACTCAAAGTATATAACCAGAGTTATAATCAGCCTACTTCTTTTTTCGACATACTACCTTGGGTTCAACTACACCTATATTCACATGTATTTGACAAGGAGAAATACTATGTCACCAATACCAGCCCTTGCATTACATGCATTAAACTGACTTTGTTAAGGACTAGGATAGCACTGAGACAGCAAGGGTTGCAGGAATATTAGCAGCTGCAAGGTACATTATGGGATGCATGTGTGGGGTGGGGGTGGGGAAACACTACCAGTTTACCATTTATTTCTTTTTTAATTTTAATTTACAATATTTTATGACCAGCCAAGTCAGAATGAATTTCCTAAGCAATTATTTGAAAAACAAACTAAGCTCCCTTTTCAATGAGAACCATTTTGTGAGATGATCAATGAAATGCTCTCAAATCCAAATGTGCTTATTGACATGACTTACTTTACCAAGAACAGTTGTTGTTTTAAACAAAATTTGCACTGATATATTTAATATGGATATATTTATAACAGCCACACCCTTAATTCCTATTAAAAGGAAGAGGCAGTCAAATGTATTTACAGCATAAAAAATGAAGACAACAGTTTCAAAGAAAGAACATAAAACTATGTCACCACAATTTCATTAAAACAACTAAATAAATTTATTAATTTTGGGGTACACTTTTATTTCCATTTCATTTTATAAAATAAGAATTAATGTTAAAACGAATATGGTCCCAAACTAATATTTGGGAATAGGTCCTATTAAATAGACTGCAATTAAATATAATGCAGTCAGCAATTACCTTGTAATAATTAAAGCGTTTCTTCAGTTCAAAATACTACATTCCTTTAATTAGAACGGCAGTTGAAATCAGTCATAATTCTACAATTTACTGTATGGATCCTGAATAAATTACAAGGAATATATGGTATACCTATGCAGTTTATCCTGGTCTCTTTTTATGTGCCATATCATTAGGACCTGCATTTACTATCTTGTCTTTTCACCAACTATAACTCTAGATGCAACTCACAAATTGCATCTAGAGTTATAGCTGTTGCTAGCTTGTTGCTTTTTAAAATTCTAGATAGCTCAAGCTATCCTAGTTTAACCATTTTTACTTCAGAGAACACTTTAAAATCCAAAACATTTACTTATTATTTAGATGTATTATTTAGAATGGAGTTCCTTCTGTTCTTGCAGAAAATTTTATTGGACAATGCTGTATGTATCTACTCAGAAGTAAACCCTATTCAATTCAATAGGTTGTACTCCCAGGTAAATGGGTTCAAGACATGGAGGTAACGCAGAACTCTACAGTGAGATTTTAGGCAGCTCTAAGGGACTTTTTCTCAAAGAAAATAATACTAGACCATTCACCAACTTGCAGTTTGTTGGAACTACTGCTGAAATTTAAAAGCAGACATTTTTCTTA